GAGCAACAGCGGTTCGAGTCCAGCCCGAGCTGAGCAGCCGCTGAGCTGCCAACAGGTAGCAGGATGGCTCAGCTTAAAAAAAAAAAAAAAAGAAATAGCTGGGTGAGAATTAGACAATAGTGAATCATGGATGAGTTATGTTAAAGGAATAAGATGGATTTTTCTCGGAAACCATGGAGGAAGCTGAGATTTCATAATCTCTTCATAACTAACCTTTGCCATCTGAAAATTGGGGTTTTTAGGTTAAGTGAGTTAACAAAATGATGAGGGATTAAAGGGTAAACTTGTACTGTTCTTAATTCTGCTGAGTTGGTTTTCTCTTGGACTGGGGGCTGTTTTTGATGTTTAGTGTTTCCACTTGTCTCCCAAACTGTAGAGAAGGGGCGGGATACATCTGATCTATTCAGATTTAAATGAAACTGAAATGAAAGTTCACTTCCTCATTGTGAACACCCATGTGACATGTTCCAATGTCTTTAAAAAGCGAGTCTAGCTGAAGACTTCCAAATCTTTGGAGAGAGCCCACCTTGAAGCATTCTTAGTATGGGAGCACCTGGTGGTTCTGTCATGTATGTACCATCTGCTTTTTTCCCTCCCGTTTGGTCTTGAAACTGTTTGTTTGTGTTTTTAGCTTGTTTTGTCTGCCAGGTTTGCAATCTCTGGTTTCAGGAAGTAAACTAAATAATCATGTCGTTCAAATTGCCTCTTATTTTGTTGACTAAAAAGAATCTAGTTTTGAAAAGTTAATGTGTGCTTGAACATATAAACCTGAGGCTGAAACGTAGTTTTCTTTGGACTATAATTTGAAGGCTTTTTACATGGTTCCAGTTCGTTATTTTGAATGAAAAAGCACAGAAAAGAAAGCAGAATTCAGTTTGAGGGAGAGCTAGTCCCTGAATTTCTCTGTTCAAGCCTTTTGTATTAACATGGAAGTGGTGTTTTCAAAAGTCATTAATTTCTTCCTTTGCAATAGATATTTTGATTGTTGGGGAAAAAAAACATTAAAAAAATAAAACGAGCCTTGGGTGTGAACGCAATATGTGGAGGTTGTCTTTTAACCTCTAAATGTGAATATTTAAATAGGCTAGTTAAGAAGAGCTTATGCATTCAAAAATTATGAAGATAAATAAATGATTTTTCAAAGGTTTGCCTTCTTTTTAAGGTTTTTTTTTTTTTTTTGGAAAGGAGGAAAGAGGATTTCCCTTGATTAGATTTCTTGGCAAATCCTGGAAAGTCCCTCCCCACCAACAAACCTCCAACCTTGGATNTGTGGAGGGCAGTGTCACTGGCCCTCATATGTGGGATCCGAACTGGGGCCTTCTGGCGTCCCAAGCCAGTTCTTAACTATCGCGCCACTCGGCCGGCCCTGGAAGCCGGTTTTGATGCTGGCAACAGAGCATCGAGAATGACAAGTTTCACACTGTAAGAAATACAGTCGGGTGTCCTTTTGCAGGATTGTGTCGGGTGATCGGCACGTGTGACAGGTGACGTATTCCTTGATATATCTTCTCAAAACATTTTCTATCTGTTTCTGTTGGAATCTTCCTTTGATTACAAGTTGGTTATTACCATCTATAGAACCACTTGTACCCAATTCAGCCAATAAAAATGCGAGGAGATGTTTGGGCTGACGATGTAATAGTTTACAGATATCTATAAAGTTGACAAAAGACGTTTTCTTGGTTCCTACTCAGACGACCTGTGGAGGTTTCATGACAAATTTCCTTTTCTCTCCAGCAACCATATCTGGATTCTTTTCCCTCATGATGTTGAACACTCAATTCAGTAGCTCCTCATACGTGTAGTCTCTTCCTGAGCCTGCCCAAGCAGGGCCTGTCTGGTTAGTGAATGAGATACTATCATCTTTTTTGCTGTCTTCATCTTCTAAAGCTTCATCTTTCTCTAGAATTTCATCCTCATCTGGGAATTTGACATTCTTCTTTGTCTTCCTTTTATTGTCAAGCATAATGTCAAGGTCATCCTCTGGTTCAGCTGGTTCTTGAACATCACTTTCAAGCTTAAGATCCTTTACACCTTCTTCAGCTTCATCAATATCAAATATCTTTTTTGTTTTTTTCTTCTTTTTCTTTTGATTAAAGAAGTTCAAGTCATCTAGATCGTCAGAAGCATCGTTTTTCCTACTGTCCTCTTCATCAGCTTCTACATCTTTGTCTTCAGTTGGCTCTGGCTCCACTTTTGTTTCTGAGGGCTGGGTTTCTTCTGTCTGGGCATCCCCTTCCTCATCTAACATAAAAGCCTTCTTCTTCTTCTTTTTCTTCTTGCTCATAGTAGGATCGAAAATCATCTCATCCCCGGACATGGCTGCGGCTCAAGTGGACTCGGCACAGACGGGAAGTCGGACGGGTCAGCCCCAGGCCCCAGTGGCAGCACTGCTCTTGCCAACACCTCTCCCACCACCGCACTTGGACAAGCCTCTCTTAAGTCCCGTGTAGGCAGGAATGAAGGCAGAAGGCGTTTATCTGTTGCCCGATTACCATGGTCATGCTATGTACTGACTGTAGGTTTATAGACCATGTCAGACGGAGAAATAATGACTGAAAAAACACATGCACCTTCTCAAAACAGTTGTGTACATTTTTTATCTTGTTGAAAGATTTGTTTTTAGACACATTTCCTCACTAAGGAAATTGAAATATCTATGTCTGGGGGTACACATACATATAAAGCACCAAGGCTAACAGCCAAAAATCAGGTATGGTGTCAGATGTGTCAAAGAGAGACAGAGAAAAGTCAACCTGAAGGAGTTGAGAGTCCCACGGTAGTTCGCTTCTTGAGTTTCTTCTGCTCACAATCTGGACAAAACACCTTTCTGATCTACCTTGTGAGACCCAGCCCTTGTTCCTCTAAACTCTACACTCCTGTGGATGTCATTAGTGAATGTCATTAGTTCATCTTTCTGGGTGCTACAGTTTATTTT